AATAGTTAGACATGTTCTCATAGACTACCTCTAACAAAATCCACATATAACATGTTTGCAAATACAAAGACAAAAGAAAACTCTTTTCCATTTGCTAACATGCATGCTGGTTGCTTTGAAGGCTTTTAAACAAATTCTTACAAAGTATTTGCTATTAGCCCTCATGTCTGTAGTTATACCATGATGTTAGAGGTGCAGTAACTTACAAAATATATATTTTTAAAACACAGTATAAACTGGCTAATGTGGATGATGCTGGATATGTTGGCAATAACCTCATATATCATTATCATGACACAGATAAAACACAGTTGTATAAGGTATTTTACTATAAAAATAGTTATATTACTGCAGATATTACAAATTACCTGGGCTGGCAAACATTATAAACATTTCAAGAATGATTAATTTCTAAAAATAACAAAGTTAAGCAGAGCTTAGAAGTCGAACTTGAGATTTCCACAACTAAAAGAAAAACATGTCTTCAGAGAAAGAATTGTATGGGAAAATATTAGGTAGTAAAATGTCATTTTGTATTTTGGACTTTCTAAGTCTTATATCTTGTTAGCAATTATAAAAAGCATATAGAATTTTTTAAAAATCACTGACATAAAATAATTTACAACTATAAAATACATTAATAATAAAAAGAAAATTATGTAAAAACAGGTAAGTACTAAATAAATATGCATCTGATCTTTGTCTGGACCTAAGAACTATTTAGTATAATAACGTGAACATAACATAAAGCAGATTAGCTTGTAAAGTCCATGAATATAAAAATACATATGTGACTTTAACAATAAATAGACTTTCAGAAAAAAGCATGCATAACATCTTTCTAGAAGAATAATTAATTCCTATGTTTTTCTGTGAAAATGCTATACAATTTTTTTTTCTGTTTCTCATTTTAAGTGCCATTGATTTTGTTTTCCACCTCTTCAGTTGTGACTCTGTTTAAAAAGAAACTTTATTTAAGCTGAGATGTAGTTAAAATATATGAGCACAAGACAAGTCACCTTCAGGACTCCCAAAACTTTGGTGCTTGGGTGAAGTTACATCCTAGGATGAGATCTCCTAGCCCAGTGACCCACAATGGACCCAGATATTCCTTTACTGCCAATGGGAATGAGCTCCAGGGACCTACATTATTATGGTTATTGTTCTGAAATTTTGCTGTTTTTCCTTGCTCTTAACCACATCAGTAAAATGACAAAAAAAAAAAGTACACTTTATCTTCATGCAACACTATGATAGCACTAGCAAAGATTGGCCACTGCTTTACTTCCTTCTCTTTCTTTTCTGCCAGTTCTCACTGCATTATAGTAGGGGTTCTGTGCTCTACAGGAAGGGGATACAGCCATGGAAAACGAAATACAGAGGTACACAGAGACATAAAATATGAACAGATAAACATAGAACCAGAGACATTTCTTAATTTTAAAAGTTATATATGTATTTAATGTTGATGTTCTGATTATTTTATTCTGATTATTCTGATATTATTCTGATTATTCTGGAGCAATATGATTATTCAATTAACATAAACATATTAGAATTAGTTTTTTTAGCTTAGTTTCTAATTTTATCAATATAGAGAGACCTGGCAAAGCTAACCCTCGACAATTATAGATTGCCAACTAAAGAGTGATTTAAGTATTCCTACATTTTGGAAATAATTTAGATTAAACAATAATAATGTTAATAATAATTTTTTTGTTTAGATACTAGTATTTAGAAACTTCTTGTAAAACTTGAATACTAAGGTTGAAGTAAAGAGAAGATTGTCTTCAAGTCTCAGGTTGAGACTAAGGATAGTTGCATTTTTTGCTTATCTAATGTTTAACCACTTCAAAGTAAATAAGGTGTAGGAAAAAAATGGAAGACTTATCAAATACCAACTACTATGTTAGAAGTTTTATATATATATTATTCCATCCATTACTTAAAATACCCTACAAGAATTTGTACCTTACAGATAACAAACAGGCTTAAACTTTTTAATGTACTATAAGCTCCTTGAGGAAAGAAATGCAAGTCTTTTGTTCAGTGTTATATCTTTAGTATCAAGCACAGTGTTCTGGCTAAGTTTACTAGTGATAAATGACATAAATTAACTAGCTTACAAAGAAATAGGGTTTCTGAGCTAGTTGGTGGAACAGTTAGAATTTTATCTCGAGTCTTTCAGGTTTCAAAACCCAGTCTGTGTGTCAAAAGAACATGAAAGAGGCAGGTAACCAGTGTTTCTGCCTCACGTACTCCAAATTAACAGAAGGTCCTTGAATTTAATTTCTCTCAATGTCATTTAGCAGCTACACTACCTCAGGCAAGTTGCTTTACCATTCAATATCTCAATATATTTTTCTGTGTAAAGATAACAGTAACGGTAATCACAAATAATAATAAACCCATGTGATTGTATTAAGGATTAATTAAACCAATAACTGTAGTTTATGGCCATAAAATAAAGAGTCAAGATTATTATTTACTTTGGAAGAAGGGATAGTCATAAAAGTTATTATTCAGAAAAGCTAATATCCAGGGTTCAGGAGGGCAAACAAAGCTGGACATCTCAATAGTATACATGTAGATGCCATCAGAGAATGTTTTAGAAACAAAAGTACTTTGAAAACTATCAGACATTTTAATTCATTCATCTGAGTATTTTCAATCATACAGTATTTCTTTAATGGATACTCTAAAACGCCCTAGCCTGCCTGTTACAATTTACCACTTCATTAAAGGTATGTTCTTCTACTTTTAAGCAAGCAGGATTCCAAAGGGTTGTTCATAGAGTACTTCAGTCAAAAGTCAAAAGTGGCAGCACAAAGAATAAGGAGAAGACATTCAATAAAAGGGAAAAAAACAATATGCATTTCTCTGGTGCTAACTTTTAAAATACCATAGAAGGTAATAAGAATAAAGTTTATAAATAAAAATCCTGAATATTATTTAGTCTACTTTGGTTAAAATTCAAGATAATTTTAAGTAGTCCAAATAAAACAGAAAGGATTACTTTGGTTGTTAACCCTCAAGTAGTTTACCAGGGAAATATTCTATGTGTTCTATGAATATATCAGAAGTTTTAAATGAATTTACATACTTCTCAGACTTATCTAGAGATATTCTGGGTGTGTTTGTGTATGTTTCTGTGTGTTTAATACACACACCATGCTCACAATCCAAGATGTCAATTTTTACAACCAAGAAATTCAGCTCTGGAAAAAGATAATCTTTCCCACAATGTCTACTTTTGCTATTTTTAAATACTTTCCTCAAACAAGGGTAATTTTAAAGTGACCATTTGAACAAAAATCATGTATGTGTGTAATTCTTAGTGTGAATATCAAATGAAATAGTTCTCTGGCCTGCTAATTCCTGGTTGTTTTAATTCACTAAAATAAAAATAATCTGGATGGACACAGTATTATGATAAAGAAAATTAACATGTTTGCAGACAAAATTTTCATTCACTGAGCCTGATTTTTTACATAGGATATTTATTTAATCCTCAAAGTAATCTCAAGTAGCTAGTTTTATTTTGCTTTTTTTAAATTAAAAATTAATTTTAATCACCTTTAGATGTATATATAATTAGAAATGCATTCATTTGAGTGATATGATTCTTATTGCTCCATATAACAAAATGTTTGGTGTACTCATGTATGTGAAGGTAAGTGAACCATCAGTATATGAATTAAGAAAACATTTTGAAATTTTTGACAATTTACTTTATTTAAAACAAGGTATAAATAGGATTTGTTCTCATGTTTAAAAATCTACGTACCTTATAACATGTTAGAACTAGATATATTAAATCTGAGGAAATTTAGAGGAAAACTTCAAAAAGGAAAGAAGTTATTTTATCCAGTTTTTATTTTTCATCATGACAGTAGAATGCAATTCAAATGGAAATAAGCAATTGCATCATTGGTGAACAATGGGTTTCTGAAGACTGTTAAAAACTAAAAGTGAACTAAAGAGGCTAAAAATGCATTTCAGCTGCTTGCTACAAATGTAAAATTCTGAAACATCCTAAAAACTGGCAAATACAGCTGTGCCTCTTTTTCTTTCCTATAAGTATTATCAATGTATGAGATCGTACTAAATCATTTTCATCTTAGTGCAAACCCAATGATAATTAGCACAAAACTTTAAATTATAAAAAAATTTAAATTATATATGAACATATATATAGACTTAAATTTACCTGTTTTGGAAAGATTCAGCGAATACATTAAGATGTACAAAATATGTCAGTCATCCTTCCATACTGAATGATTATGAATTTTATAAAATTTGCAAAGGCACATGACTTCTATACTATCATATTTGTGTAAGAAATATCAAGTTTATTGAATAAAATGAGTTTATAAGTTCATTATGGAGCATATTAGCATGTTTCTGCAAAATTACCTTTCTCTTTTAAAGGGATATATTCATACTATTCTCTTGTAGGGTTTTTGTTTTGTTTTGCATTTTGTTTTTGCAATGAAAAGTATATGACAAAAACAATTTCACTCTAATGAGAGGTTAGAGTTTATACTTTGGGTATTAAAGATTGTATGAAATAGTAACTCTAAAAAATTATTACTTAGTCTGGGAAAGCAGAGTTTCTTTCATCATTTTTCTAAATGTTTATACCTTTTACATTCAAATTTTTTAAGCACAAAAACATGTAAGCCCCAAAATTCACAATGATATAATACAGCTGATTTTCCATAAGTGTGATAAAACAACAAAAAAATGCAGTTTTTAAAAATTAAAAATAAAAATAGTAAAACTGTTTGGTTTTGCAAAGATTTCATGGGCACTTTAAGAAATTTAATTGAAAAGTTGTATTTACCATAGCTAAAATTACACATATGGTACTTACTCATTTTAATATATGATTTTTAAAAAACTAGAAATTATCAGAGCAAGGTTTCTGGAGAAAAGGTCTAACATGAATAAGTGAAATAACATTAAGCATTACATAAAAATCTAGTTAAAGATCTTACCATGAACTATTGGTGCTAAGAGCATCATGAAGGTTAGTAGCTGTGATGGCCACATGGCTGTGGGCTTGGGCGTGAGAATTCCTCAAGAATGTATGTTTCAAACGTGAAACAAAGTCACTGTGTTTGTGGTTCCTCTTCTGTACTCCAAGATTGATAATTAAAAATTAAAACAAAATCAAAAAGTAAAAGAAAAATTCCTCAAAAATTGAAACACCAATATTCCAAATATGAAACCTGCAAAAAAAGAAGAAAAAAGGGGGTGTGGTGGTTATCAATTAGAAGGTATTCTTATTTTAATTCCCTGAAGAATTGCTTTATTTCCTCTTTAAACACCTGTTTTCTGTTCCCATCTTTTCTGTGTACTGGGGATTGAACCCAGGGCACTCTACCACAGAACTGCATCCCAGGACCTTTTTACTTTTTATTTTGATTTTGAGACAGGATCTTGCTAAATTGCCAAGGCTGGCCACAAACTTGAGATTCTCCTGCTTCAGCCTGCCTAGTCTCTGGGATTACAAGCATGTACCACTGCATTCAACATTTTTTCAACTGAAGAGCCTAAACATCAACCTAAAATGGGTAAATAATCTAAAAAAATTTTTATGCATGTATTACCATAGTTTTTATACCTCAAACTCAAACCATCTCTACTGGACAAATTAATTTAAATATACTAATTTTAATATGTATAAGGAGACTTGAGGACTGCTTTTCGTAAGTATTTTCCATACATATATAATTTTACTTACAGAATAGTAAAATATCATCATTCACCAAATATAATTTTTACTAACGTTAAAATAGTAAAATATTTTCATTCTTCACTATTACTATAAGTTTGAAAGGGAAAGTTAAGTTACTTTCATTTTAGGCGCTTATATTCTTTCAGAAATTTTCCTACATGTTAACTACATTACTTTTCTAAGCATTTTATAACAATTGTGATTACAGGTTTATAAAAGATGCTACTTTTATGTTTGATTGTCTAAAATCTCAATACTGAAATTTAATGCATGATATAACCTAAATTACAATTTTAAAAATTTTATTAAAATGTGCTTCTAGCCAGGTGCAGTGGTGCATACCTGTAATCCCAAACGTCTCAGGAGACTGAGGCAAGAGGATCTCAATTTCAAAGCCAGCCTCAGCAACTTAACCTTTATCATATCAAAATTACAAGTTTATCAAACTATTTTTTTTTGTTCACTTAAATCCCAGTAGTAAGAACACAAATTCTTAACTACCTGATCTCAATTACTGTTCTAGAACTGTGACCACCAGTAATCACTTAATGACTTGGTGCCTCAGTTTCCCTGTTTGTATAAAGGTGGAAGTAATGTTATGTAATTTATAGGGTTATACAAACATTAAGTGAGTTGAAACTGGTAATTTTATATTATATATTATACATTAAAATGTGTTTTATCCAGAGCAATGTTGTCATGGACTAAATATTATATGATTAATTTAATTTAATATTTAACTGTGATAATTATATTATATAAATTATGAGAATGAACAGATTTCTCATAACCTACAAGAAAGTATACCACTATTCATAAATACTTTTTTTTAGAAAAGTAAACTTTTTAGGATGACTTCTTCCAATTTATATCTTGTCAATAACTTTACTAAACCAATCAATTTTTATATAACAGGGACAATTTAATTAAGTCATTTCTAAAGCAAAGTTCTTAATATACAAAAAAAACAAGCAAAGATATTAGGGCTGCACTAAGTCACATAAGACAGCATCCAATGTATCCATGATTTATTAATAAATATTGCATAGTCATAAACATATATTAATGCTTCATAATCTTGCCCTACAAGGTGATGTTGGACATTGATCCCAAAAATGCCTTCCTAATTTTACTCAGCAATAAAAGATAATAAAATCATGGCATTTGCAGGTAAATGGATGGCGTTGGAGAAGATAATGCTAATCGAAGTTAGCCAATCCCAAAAAAACAAATGCTGAATGTTTTCTCTGATATAAGGAGGCTGACTCATAGTGAAGGAAGGAGGGGGAGCATGGGAGGAATAGATGAATTCTAGTTAGGGAAAAGGGGTGGGAGGGAAATGGAGGGGGCAGGGGATTAGCAAAGATGGTAGAATATGATAGACATCATTATCCAAAGTATATGTATGAAGACACGAATTGGGTGTCCACATACTTTATATACAGAGATATGAAAAATTGTAGTATATATGTGTAATAAGAATTGTACTGTATTCTGTTGTCATTTTTTAAAATCAATAAAAAAATAAAGTCTAAAAACAAAATTACGTTAAAAAACTTCCTTCCTAAAAAGCCATTTTACATGGAACATTCCTTCCAATATGAAATAAAATCTCTATGATACATTAATTCATCAAGAAAAGGAGCAGGGCAGCAAGATGAAAAGTTAAATGACTATAACTCGTCTTCTCCCATCACTATCAAAGTGTTAATATGTTTCATATGAGATAAGACACATCACACCTGAAATTGTCTGAACAAATATGAGAAGTTAATAAGAAATACCATATCATTTTTCATTTTAAAAAAAAAAGAATGAGGCAGAAACACAAAGGAGTTTAGACTGAGTAAAATATATAATGAGCTCAAAATGCTAGTTAAAGTTTTCAATTCTGAGAACGTATAAATATGTTTTTCCTTTAAAGTTTTCTTATTTGTTAAATAAGTATATTTATTAGTTCTCAATTGGGAGAGTGTGTGAAGCTATATGATGGAATTGTAAAGCATGATGAGTTTGGGTCCTACTATTTCTCATAGAAGTTTTTATACATTAAACAGGTTCTTCTAACAATTTGACCCTGAAAACTAAAGAATCACAGTAAGGTTCAAGGATCTTTCCTATATTCTAATATTTATGAGACCAAAGAACATTATATGAAATAATTACTAATAAAACACTTAACCATTGAGACTGGTTAGTTGTAATAATGAGTTGAGTGTTCTAATAATGAATGCAATCTTGAACAGTTCTATCTCATTTTGAACATTCATAAAGGACAGATTCATTGAATTCAACAAATTCACTCACGTATATTTTTGTCAATTTGATTCAAGTGTTTGCTGCATTTGGTTACTGGGGTTTGTGATATATAAAAGGCATGATTCTCGAATTGAAATGGGGGAAAAAGGAGGAGGAGGAAGAGGAAACAATGAGGACAGGGAGGAAGAAAAGGACAAGAGATAATGCAGGATAGGCAAAGATTAAAATATAAATCATAATTTATGATCTGTAAATCGAATTTTTAAAAAAGAAACAAAGTGTTATAAACAATACACATGATAACACTGTGTGGTTGATCCAGAAAACTTGCAAGAAGAGAGGAGAAATTGTGCTAGAATTTGAATAATGGATGAGACTCCCCTGAACTGTAGATGGACAAAGAACACTCTGGATTAAGGATTGTTATAGTAAAGGCAAAAAGTTATCTAGTTTGTCAGGATTAAGTAAGAACCACAGAATGTAATACTAAGGATTCATTCAGATAGAACAGAAATGAATCGAATACAGTACAAAGAAATGTGAATTCAACTTGATTTGAGTACAAATCGGGCGATTTGAAACATAAAATTGCATGAAACATCCATACATATAGATCAGCATAACCTCTGTCTTAAGAAGGAAAAATATTTACATTGAATATATTCCAAGGAATTTTGTAGTTCTTCTATATTGATACTAAACATGCAAACACTATTTTTAAAAAATTCTTTAGTATACCTGATAGTTGGTTTGAGATAAGGAGCTTGATTAAATTGAATAAATACCAGAAATTGGATTACTAAATGAGTCATTAAATTAATAAACCAACTATTATTTATTATATCTAATATGTCACTACATGAAAAATAATGCAGGCTTTGCATTTACATAATAAGACACCATAGTCAGAGTTCCAAATTTGCATAACACTGCTTAGCAGCCATTATGCTATTTCAGATCAAATATTGATTTCAGAGAATTACCAACACTTTTAGATATTTGTTATACATTTGGCAGTGACCATTTATCTGCACAGATGTATATTTTATAATGTACACAAGTTAAATACAAACTGGAAGAAATTTACAAATACAGTAAATATGTGTTGGCCTTAACCTATATCTGAATGTGATAATAATTTCTTAGTTCTTTATGTCTGCAAAATGTCCTTACTTCCATAAAAAATAAAAATCTAGGCTACCATCATAAAGTCTAAGCCAGGAGCTGGGGATGTAGCTTAGTTGGTAGAGTGCCTTGAAAACACAAGGCCTGGGTGGGGTTCAATTCTCAGCACCATATCTCTCTCTCTCTCTCTCTCTCTCTCTCTC